ACATAACCAACTAAAAACACATTAGATAACTTGTTGATATTTCCCTAATTAACCTGGTCAGAGATGCTTTTACACGCCTTTGGAGCAGATAGAACTTCAACCCGAAATGTTTAGAAATCACAGGGCAATTAACTTGTTGTTGACAGTTATCGATCAAAATCCTTAGTATAACTGAAAACACTAGTAAAAGTTAGAAACAAAATAAGGTGGAATTCTGTTGCTTGCTGGTTACTTCTTGTGTTACTTTCATGTATCTATAAGAGACGCGAACCACATGTTTGTATGCAATGCCTTTGTATTTTACAAGAAACTAATGTATCAAGTGATCGATACCAAATGTGTTTACAAAAAAAACAGTAACTTAACAGCTTTGAACATATTGCAAACAATTGGATTAAAAAAATTGTTAGTGGGATGTGTGTGTTGCTGGCATGACAGTATTTATTACTGGTCTCTTCTGACTTTTCAAAAGGTGTTTTCAGAAGTCAGCTCTTGAACTACCGCAGTCCATGTACACTCACAATATCTTTAAGTATGGAGTTCCAGAATTTTGATCCAGTGGTAACGAAGAAATAGTGTTGTATTTGTTGATGGTAGTACTCCTATGTGACTGGTGTTTTTCCAAATGTAGAAAACACCAAGAGTTGCTGCAGTGCAATTTTATAGAGCGTATACACTACTGTCACCATGTGTCAGTGTTGGAGGGAGTGAATGTTTAAGGCGGTGAATGAAATGCCAATTAAGTGGCAGCTTTGAAACGAAAACACAAATTGCTGGAGAAAGTCAGCAGGTCTAGCAACATCTGTGAAGAGAAAGCAGAGTTAATATTTCGGGTCCTGTGACCCTTCTTCAGAACTAATGATAGCTAGGAAAAGCTTGGTATATATGTTGAAAACAGAAGGTGGGTGTCAAGAGGTGGGAGCAGTGGTAAAGGAATAAGCAATAGGTGGAGTCAGAGCCCAGAGACAGAGAGCAAGTTAGGCAAACAAAAGGATTGATAATGGTAAGCCAGGAAGAACGGAAAGGTGCTAACGGGGACCATAGGTAGATGAAAATGGTATGGCTGTGCTGAAAGCAGCCCCTGTAACGACAAGGCCTAGGGTATGGAGATGGGTGAATGATGTGGAAGGAGGTGTTCAGGCCCTAAAATTACTGAATTCAAAATCGAGCCCTTAAGCCTGTAGAATCCCCAAGCAGAAAATAAGATACTGTTCTACCAGCTTGCACTGAGCTTTGTTGGAGCACTGCAGCAAGCCTGGGACAGAGATGTTGGCCAGGGAGCATGGTGGTGTGTTGAAGTGGCAGGCAGCTGGAAGCTTGGGTTTTTTTTTGCAGAACACTTATTTTCTGTCTGCAAAGTGGTCACCCAGTCTGCATTTCGTCTATCCAATGTCCACAGTCCAAAGATGTGCAAGTTAGGTTGAGTGCCGTGCTAAATTGCCCGTAGTGTTGAGGGATGTGCAAGCTAGTGGATTAACCATGGGAAATGCAGGGTTACAGAAATAATATGGGGTGGGGGGGGTTAGGTCTAGGTGGGATGCTCTTTGGACAGTCATGTGGACTCGATGAGTTAAATGGCCTGCTTCCACACTGTCTGATTTCTATGATTGTGTGTATTGTGAGCAGCGAATACAGTCGACTGGATTGACTGAAGTACAGATATATCGCTGCTTCACCTGGATGTGAGGAGAGAGGATGTACGTAGGCAGGTATTACACCTTCTGCAATTGCACGGGAATGTGTTGTGGGGGTGTGGGGAGGCATTGGGAATGGAGAAGAAGTAGACCAAGGTGTCCGGGAAGGAAGGGTCCATGTGGACGGCTGACGAGGGAGGGGAGTGGAAAGTTTGTCTGGTGGTGGTATGCAGCTGGAGGTGGTGGAAATGGTGGCTAATTATCCTTTTGATGTGAATGCTATTGCTATAGTGTGAGGGAAGAGAGGGTGTGAGGGCAGAATTGTGGGAGATGGGTCAAAC